TCTACTTAAGTAACAAATGTGTGAACTTTTGACACCACTGGTAAAGTGCCTTGAGATGACATGTGTTGTGCATAAATAAACTGAATGAATGATACAGACCTATAGATATTCATGTTTCCCTGTAGGAACATTAATTGTCCTAGCTGTACATTAATAAAATGCCTGATGACGCGGGTGAGTCAATGGATCCAAAGAAAGGTATGAGCTCTCAGTGGAAATATTTAATGATCTAATTCCTTTGGATTGAAAACTCAAAGCTACAGGTCTAAAACGCAGCTGATCAACAGAAGAGTAGCTAATGAATTAAAACAGCTCCAGTTTAACATTTCTAACAACACCTTCCATCTGAATCTCCAGGAAATGGTCGGAAAGGTGTTAAACCAACACACCTAAACGAAACTACAATCAGCTGGTTTTAACTGGACCGTTAAGAAATACAAAACGCAAAAAAACAAATGGTTTGTTTCCTATCATTATGGGAATAAACTACCATACGCTTGATTCAACCTTTGGTTAAATATACAATTAAAAATAGTTTATGTTAACGTGTTTAGCCACACAGCTCCTTGAAGCTAAATGGAACAGCTAACTAGCATTCCTTCCTGCTGGAATAAACCTTCAAGTTTCTTTTTTTAACTCTTCCTGTGGGTTTTATAAACCTTAACGCTTTAATGACCGAAAATCCCTCCGATATGAATAAAAAACAATCAACAAAAAACAAGAAAACACCCAACTAGGGCCCAGAAAGAGAAATAAAAGCTGAGCGGTTAACAAAGTTAGCTGCGAGGCTAACCTGGACCCCTGAGAGTCAGAGCCAGGGACAAACTGGGACTCATTCTGCCGTCATTTTTTCCAAGCCGAAAATTCAAACTTTACCTTTACGACACTTTGGGGTAAACCGGTAATCCTGCCGGGGTTTTTGTCCTCTATCTGCCGGTGCTTTGGGGCAGAGCCATTCGGGTTAAGTTCAGAGAATGGTTGTGTTTTTGTCCCCTCTGACAGCTGTCATCGGTCCGCCTTTCTTCGCTCCCCTTCAGCTTCCACACCAACGAGCTGAAAAGGTCCCGGATGTTCGGGAAAAATTAGGGTGTGATGCTGCCTTCAGGAACAGTTGGGAATTTTTTGTTTTCCTAAACTACTTTTGGTTACTTTTTCCCCCTTCATACAGGAGGCCTTATTAGCAACTTTCGTTTTGAAATCTCTGGAAGAACTTTGCTCTTATAAAGGAAAATTTTGTTTTTGCTTTTTCTAGACAATGGAATGCTGAGTTGTTGTTGTTTTTTTTGTTTTTTGTTGTTTTTTTTTCATCATGAACCTATGGTGGTTATCTACGGAAGAGGATTAGGGGCACTAAAAAAAAGAAAAATGGTGACCTATTTTTTAAAATTATTTTTTTTTTCAGTTTAATATGGAAAAAAAAGTCAGAATTCTGACTTTAATCTCAGAATTGAGACTTTAATGTCAGAAAAAGTCAGAATTCTAAGAAAAGAAAAAACAGAATTCTGAGATAAAAGTCGGATTCTGACACTTATTATACTGAAATAAAATCTAAAAATCAGTTTACATTTTTTTTTATTAGTGGCCCTAATCCTCTTCCATAGTTATCCTGTCCAAATTCAACACCCCCAAATGCAAGTACAGACAACAGAAACCCAACTTTATTTATTTGTAGAATAACACCGTTGCTTACATTAAAATGCTGAGAAACTCTCAAACCCAAAAGGCATTAACGACTATTCAATGCTCTTCTTCATGAATCACCCCCTGGCTAATATTGATTTTTTTTCTCCTTTTTGTATATGTTCTCTGTACACCTCTTTGAATAAAAAAATAAATGATTTATTTAAAAAAAGAAGCAGATTTTTTTATTTAAAAAGCAATTGTTGATTGTAGTAACTGAAATGCATTCTTTATTTTTATACCTTTACATCAAGGCTAACATAAAATTAACAATTACAACAGAATCATATTTGTTCCTTGAATTATTTTAAGATGATCAGTTTTCTAGTTCATTTAAATGCAGTTAAAGCTCCTACAGACATTCATTGTTTTATAAAATAGAAAGACATGTTTTACTATTATTGTGAAGGAAAAGGGAAATAATGTATAAGTAACAACATTTTTTACATCTAAATCTGAGAAGTGCTTACCTGAGTCATTGCGCTGTAGATCTTCCTTTTAGTGGAATTGGATGTCTTCTGGGATATCTTTCTAAATCCCAACACTGAAATTGTGACCCATAATTTTCTACAAAACTGTGTATCCAAATTGAAATCGAAGACATCAGTTTTCACAATTTATTAAGGGTCTGGAAGAGACAATTCTGATAGACTAGGATGGATGGCTAGCCAACTAATTTTTTATTAATCGTTAACTGGAGTATAGAGACTCTAAAACATGCCTTTAGCTGAAAGAGCAGCCAAAAAATAGTAAAAAATTATATATTTTGTATTTAAGTTGTATTTGTATTTTATTGCATCTGTCAATATCCAGAACTCCACAAGTTTCAAATTTTGAGTTTTACTTGGTTTAATTTTGTAAAAATTCTTCTCTAAGGAATCTTTGGCTATACGATTATTAATCGGAAAAATAATCAACAGATTAATTGATTTGCAAAATAATCATTAGTTGCAGCCCGACTTTGAACAATAAACCAGAAAGTTTAGAGGCTGAATACAAATGGATTACACTTTTGAGTTTTGAATTAATAAAAGAAATCTTGACAGTTATGCAAACATTTCTTTCAGTTCAAAGTGTTGCACCACTTTCTATAGGTCTGTTGGCCAACTGCATTTCGTGCAAAAAAACTTGTCTTTTGCAAGACATATAATGGGACTATAAAAAAATATGTGTTTTTAGGCCTAAATTAATACTTGAGTTTCAGACATAATTAAGTCATCAAGTTGACAATTTTCAACTAATGAAAATAAGTCAAAAATAAAACTCCTTGACAATCTGAAACATACCTAGAGTTCTTAAAAAATCAAAATAAAATGATCAAACTGTTACTGCTGACAAGTAAGGCCTGCATTCACTGCTGTGTTGCCTGCAGGCTGACCATTTCAGAACTATGATTGAGTTTTCAATCATATTCTGATAAGGCTCCAATGGTGATTATGACTATAAATGCAAACAGCTACATCATCATTACAACAGAAACTCTAAACGTCTCATTAAGAATAGATGAATCCCGAGGGGGTTCACTTTTACATGTTAAAAAAGCGGAGATAAAATGCATTTCATATAAAACACAGTGAAACTTCTGAACACAAATTGAGTTTTTCTAAGCAGAAACTGTGTTTCTTGCATTTTTGGAACAGGAAACATATTCATTTAAACTGGGAATTTAATTAAATTCTCACAAAATAACCCCAAAGCAATTGAAAATCAAAGTCCACTTTAGTGTCCCGTCTTTAATCCCATATCAAATAATTTCTGGATTAATTGTTTGTTGAAATAAAAAGGACATTAAGTACAATATCTCTAGGGACTCCATCTGTTTGAAATAATGGATTTAACAATAATAATAACTAATGCTTGCTACAATATTTTACTTTAAAATGGCCCAGCAAGCTTAGCAAATAGAAAATAATTGCAAAAAAAATAAAAGTGGGTATACATCTAGAAGCTTCCTTTTACATAAATATTGCAATTTTAATTAAAACACATATTTTTTTAAGTTAAGGTCGGTAGAGTAGCTAAAATGAGTGAATATAATAGCAGCAGGCGGTAGTATGGTGCAGTAAAAACACTCCCAGAGGTACTTCTTTTTTTTACTTGCACAGCAAATGTAACGACTTCCTTCTCAACTTTCCTAATTTGGAAACTACTCTCAAGATGCAATGCATACCTTGTCCACTTGGAGGCACTGTTGGATAATGATGGTCTATAGGTAATCAGCATTTGAACACATACAGCAACCTAAAATCTATTTAATAGCTTGAAAATACCCTTGTTTTTGTCAAACTTTTAGGAAGCAAAAACATTTATTTCCAGATAAATCAAATATCTGAAGTCTTTTTTTTCTTGTTATTGTGATGATTATGACTTATAATGAAAACTCTATATTAAGTGTTTTGAGAAGCTGAAAGGAACATAACAGATAGCAGAATCAACAACCCAGATGTCCTTAAGGCTGTTCTCATAGCAGCTATGAGACATAACATTACCTCTAAGCAAAAGCAGAGGCTGAACGCCTCAATGCCCACCTGAAAAAGGAGCCCTAGCCAAGTACTGACTGCATGTATTTATAATCACTTCTTTGGAGACTATTTCTATATTTTATTGATTCTGTCTAATGTTCTAATTTTCTAAGACTCTTAAGTTTTGGTTGTCATTATCTGCATATCTGCCATAATTATGGAAAATGCAGGAAATAAAGGCTTGAAATATTTTACTGCTCTTTTATTTTACTATTTTACTGTAATATTTTTCTCTGTAATGATCATACACTGAAAAAATGGGCTTTTACTTAATCCTATTTAGTTACCCTAACACAATTGTTTAATGTTAGCAGGGTAGGACATAAAACGATTGTATTAAAGTAAATAATATGATTAAGTAAATGCCAAAAATGGTCGCATTATTTTGTTCAGTGTATATATGTGTTAAGTGAAAACAAATATAGATAATTCTGATGCACCTGTACATGCAAATTTTGCAAAAGATGAAAGAAAGAGGAGATAAAAGGGAGATAATGATAAATGGCCTTCAGTCTGCTTCATCACCTGCAAAGAGATGTAAAAAGAACAGCACAACCAACAGACATGGTACGAGACATACAATAAAGTAACACCTAGATACTAACGCTGAAGTAGTATTATTGTTCTTTTTTTCATCTCGTTGCAGGTGATGAAGCAGACTGAAAATGTTTTGTCATTATCTCCTTTCTATCTCTTCTTTCTTTCATCTTTTCTCTTTTTTTCTTTTTTCCTTTTTCTTCTTCTGTTTTTCTGCTCTATTTACATTGCAGTGTCCATATAAACTGTAAAACTCCCTGCATAATTATAATAAAGCAATTTATATGCATGAAACAAGTGTAATACTGCTCCACTTGTGAAAGTAAAATCTATTGGTCTCTTTTTGGCATCAAGACAATTATTCTTATTGCCACATTGCCAGACAGGACACTGTTAGAAAAAAAAAAAAAGAAGTAGTATTATTTAATCTGACATGTTTTCTGTGTTACCTGAAGATAAGAACATGGGCTTTCTGTATGGAAGTTAAACCCTGAGTACCTGGAACCAAGCACCTGTAGTTGTTTATGAGAGTGCACTTGTGCATGTAAAGTTTATCCAAAGAAAAAATGCTCAATGATGTGTGTGTTGGTGATGGGCTTTAATTGAAACCTTCTGAAAAATATGAATAGTGAAAACTGATTGTTTACTTTTTCCATGTCCGCTGGTGGTGCAAACCAGAAAAGCCCTCTATTGACGTCAGTACTGGAAGGATGCAAACATTAGATGCTATCACCACTAATTCCTCTGTTCTAACCAATCAGCTACTAACCTGCAGGACATCAATAACCTATAGTGTCAGAGACCATGGTAAATGAAATGTGGAAAACTGTTAATTTTGCTAACACTACACGTGCATGTGCAAAAGTACGGAGCCCCTCTGATGACATGGTCAAAAAAATTTTTTTATTGTGGCCACGAAGTAGTATTTCGTGCGCACAAAGTAGTATTTTGTGGCCACGCAATAAGTTTATCGTGCGCACAAAATATTATTTCCTGGCCACGCAATAAGTTTAAGGTGGGCACGAAATACTTATTAATAATATTAACATCATTCCTGGACAACTAGGTAAGCAAATCGAGCGCGCCTTCTCTAAGGTCTAAGGCGCGCTCGATTTGCTTACCCAGTCGGTCTCCACCAGTCACGTGACATTTGTTGCTAAGACGCTATTTTAGGTGGAAAAGGCGTAGTGTAAACAACCGCAGCATAGCTAAACGAAGGACTAAAGGCCCGTTTACATAGCAGCCTGTCCAAGATAAATCATTACAGTTAACATAAGCCTGAAAACAGGGGCGGATTTATTGATATTATTAATAAATGTTTCGTGCGCATG